AGAAGGGTAGTTTTCATTTATTCTTATTCTGAATTATTCTGTGATACCATTAAAGAGGTTGGGATGAGTGAGGGAGGTGGGAATACTACATAAGTGTCTATTCAGATGAAATTACATAGTCTACGTATCTTGTTTTAGTCATTACACTGTGAGGTTGTTGCCATTCATCCTTGTATCTCAGAGCCTAGCATGGTGTATGGCACATAGCTGGACTCTTAATATATGTCATGTTGAGTTGGCAGTGCTAATGTATGAATCTAAAATAAACCTATGACAAAGTATGATATGGAAATATATTAGTGTCACTCAAATATTATTACAAGCATTATTTTGATGAATATAATAAAAATATTTTAAATATTATTTAATGGCACAATTTTCATAATTATTATCCATTTATGATCCATCCATTCTATTATTTGATCTTGAACAGTTTAAATATTTAAAGGAAGATTCAAATAGTTAAGCTTAGATATTTCTTTTTTTCTCCACTATAGAAGAGTAATGTGCCAATGTTGTAACAAGGTTTGAGGGAGACACATCTCACACATGCATGTGAAAACCCAGTCATCATGCTTATGCACTACAAAAGGATCTAAGCTTAGATATTTCTAAATGGATACTGCTAAACTGACATGGGTTGGGTGTAGTCTGTGATCATAGCAAGCTGGAATAGGAACTATACAAAGAAATCAAAATTTTTGGAGTCAATAAAAAAGTACTTGATTCTATTATTGAAATACTCACCACCAATGAAGTAACAGCAGGACCTGTTCTGGTGGTGAATTATGGGAGGATAGTTTCACTGCTGAACAGGAAAGAAAGAACTACAGATAACACAAATGGATGGAGATAGTGTGTACCTGCTTACTTTGAAAGGGATGTGTAATCCAAGAACTAGCATGAAAAGTTAAAGATTATGTGCTTTTTCAAAATGGAGAAAATAAAATAGAAATCATAGTTAACATGTATCAATTACTTGCTGTATGCCAGGCACCTAAGCACTTCATATGCATTAACCCAGTAGTTTCCTCCATATTAAATCAGAATGTCTGTGAGTAGAAACCAAGTATCAATATTTTTAAAAAATATCCCAGGTAACTCCAATCTGCAGCAAAGTCTGGAAACCACTCCACAATCCTGCAACATAGATATTCTTGTTTCTATTCTATTAAAGTAGACGCTGAGTTACAAGAAGGTGAAGTAACATGTCAAGGTCAAAGAGCCGAAAAGTTGAGGCATGAATCCAGGTGTTCCGATTCCAGAGCCCTTGATCTTGACCATTGTAATGTTCCTCAGTGTTTTAGTGCCATTTCTAATGAGGAGCTTTGATTTTTGTGAGTTTAAGGAATTTTCGATGCACATCTTAACAATATCATTTTAGGTTATGGTATTCCTGTGTGGTATCAGTTTCCTACCACCATCGGTGGTATCAGCCTCTCCGGGAAGTACTTAACAAACATGAGGTTGTAGAAATCAACCCTTCTCCCTGTTCCGGGTTCTCAACAGCCCAGATGTTACTACTGACTTTATCTTCGGAGCCCACGCGACCCCATACCTGGGAATTGGTTGCACCTGAGGAAGGACCTGGTGGCAAAGCAAACTAACACTGGGTTTCCTCCTGTTAGTGAAGGCCTCTTGGCAATGTTCAGATTTTGACTGTTAGGTGTGAATTATTAAGGTTCATTCATTCAACCTTTGCTGCAGGCCTCTGGTTCCACATAACTCTTTTTACTTTCATCCTAAACCTGAATTCGTGTTATATTATGGGACCACAGAGGTCTAGGTTTTCTGCTTAGCTTTACCATCCTCTCACTGTATGACTTTAGTTAATAAGCTTATAATATCTTCCAGGCTAATGTACTGTGTGCCAGACTCAATGGACTTTGGGTATCTTTGGCTAAATTTTGGTTCCGTGTCACTTTATTGCTCTAAATTTAAGTTCAAGTATATACTTCTATGTCAGACTGCTCATCTATTTTCAGACTTTGAGAGCCACCATGAACTTGTCTTTCTCCTGAGAACATATCCTGTCTGCATGGACAATCTTGGTCACAGCTGTCCTGGTGCAGGCAATCTGCCTTTGAGCTGTAACTTGAGGGGTTCGACTCAATATTTAATTCCCCCATGGTGACTGAATATCTAGTTCCAGAACAGATTTAATAGGCACTTGGACCTGAGGAGTCACACAGACGTGGGACCCTCCTAGGAAGAACATACTTACTTCTGTGGCTGTCTCTTTATTTCCCAGGAGAGATACTCATGACCATTGCATAAGCAGTAGCTACAATAATTAAAATTTCCCTCAAGTGAAATTATGCCCATTACAGTGGGCCGTATGAGCCACCCCAAAACTCCAGTTTAAACCCACCACTGAGCTCTCCATTTCTAAGTTCCAAGTTCAGTTATTCAACATCCCAGGGTTTCCAGGACTCCATGGAGAGGCAAACTTGACTGAGAGTGGCAGTTAGCATTTACATAACAACCTGGTGGCTCCCAACCGCCATAAATAAACTTCAGGTTTATTTTCTATCTGTTAAAAAGGAAATTCTAGGTTTTGTTATTATGAAACCCAGATGGGGAAAGAAAGTTAACTGAGCATCCTTGCTTCAGTAAATCATTTCTGAAAGATCTAGTGGTTACTAGTTACTAATAGTAACAGATTTTATCTTTCTGGGTTCTAATCTGCCACTGCTAATTTTTCCTGAAATGATAAATTCAACAGCTATTTTTCCCATTTCCCAACATTTCATGAGCACAAGAAAAATACTACATTAACAAATAAAAAGCTTATGCAACAAAAAGGGGGAGGCTTGGAGGTCTGGGACTGTAAGACAGAGTCAAATTCCTTAGAAAAGGCAGAAGACAGAAAGAAGCAAGCCCTGGCACATGGGTCGCATTGGCCCCCCGGGGGTGGGTAGAACAGGGTAAAATGATGTTGTCTAAGACAACGCCAAGGAAGCTCGGCAGTAGGACTTGGAAAGAGCTCCCAAGGCCCCAAGACCAGGTCAGCCCCAGGACATGCTTGGATGCTGCTTTCCAGGAGCTCAGAGTATACAGGGCTTTGCGAGAACCTAGAGTCCAGCTCTTGAGAAGCTTAGAGGGGGAAGCTGTGTCCCATTGTGGCCTCGGACAGTCACGATCTGAGGGTAGCTTCAGATTCGCCACCCACCCTAAGAGCTGCTGGTGCCAAGGCCCCTTTCCGCGATGGCTGGGGCCTGCCACTGCAAGAATGCAAACCGGAGGCTGGGCCAAGGATGGCTTTGGCACGGTGGCCACTTTAAAATCATTTCAGGGAGGCATTTCAGTGTTGTTTTGACAGATCAAGAAAGCTCAAAGCAAGTCCTTTGACATTTGAATCTCTAATTTCACATTTTTGGACCTCTCCATGATGTCATTACAATAGATTTTGAACATTTAAAATGCACATATTCTAGGCTTTTCTAAAAGTTTTCAAATTTTTGAACAATATTATAACATAGTATTTTCTACAGAGCATACAGTGGACAACCTCAAATTTTAAAGCGACTGCCTCAGACTCTTTAGAGAGTGGAGTAATAACAAACAGAAAAATAACAAAATCTTGTTGTGTCTTACAGATTCACTTACATGTTAAGTGACTACTTCCTGCATGAAGGAAGCTACCATTCAAGTGTGCCTCAGTAAACTTATAGACCGTCACGTTGCTGACCTTCAGTGTCATGTCAAAGTGCAAACTCCGTGAGTATCAAGAGTCTATGATGAAGTAATAGCTCTAGCAAGTGATTTTGTTCTCCCAAGGAGAAAGAAGAAACTTATGACTTCCGAGTCCCATTCTGTGAGCTGAGGACCCCTAGTGGGCCCTGCAGCAACCACTTCTGAACAGTAAGTGTTGTCAGAAGAATAAATAACATCTCATATACCATTTCTCGATGCATGTATATGCTGTTGTGATTAATAAAATACAGTTTCATTTAAAGTACTGCAAAAGTTACAACGGCTTTTTGTTATTGTATTTTATTTTCAATTACAAAATCGCCGAAATAATATCACTAACTGGAGACAGCTAGATGTCTTGATGTTACTCAAAAAAGGTTGTGAACCTCTGCTTTACAGAGTCATCTCCAGGGCGGCCATTCTCTTTTTGACATGCAGCATCTAGAATAGTTGAACCTACTGAAAATAACAGAAATGTGCTATAGAACTCAACCAGTAACAGAACTGTATTAACTACAAATAATGCACTTACTAATATATTTATTGCAATACATTTTAAAAGAAAAGTTACCAACCTACAAAGGAGAATTTGCAGCCTTTGACCAAATACTCAGTGGCACAAATTACATAAAGTAGTACTAAATGATCAAATGTGCAAATTTTTTCACCTTGGAACTTAGGTTTTCACTGGCTATTTGTAGAAACTGCGAAGCCTGTATGGAATACCAGGCCTCACTCCAGCCAAAACTTTAATTTACTGTTTAAAAAATTCACACACACACACACACACACACACACACACACACACAAACACAAACACACACACTCAGGAGTAACATCATGGCTCGGCTTAGCGGAGTATATGCATGAACCCTTTTATCCCTCTGTATCAAACGCTATCATCTATTTCATTATTGAAATGATTTCCAGTGCTAGTCAGCTGGAGCAGTCAGGCAAATAACATTTCTTTAATAGAAAGACAGTGATCTAGAATTGATAAGAGAAGTTGTTTTTTTCCTTAGTTTTTCACCCCTACACCTAAAACCATTTTAATCAGCACTTCCAGTGTCAGAGCAAGGGAGGGCAAGATTTTTTCAGAAAACATTAGGCAGAGGATGGCAATACAGCCTGATTCAGAGTCTCACCCTCAGTATCAAAAAATAATCAGTGAGGGAGACAGTAAATGCCTTCCTTGGAATCAGTTAAAACCAAATTTACAACTCAATGTGTTTGTGAAGACATACATGCATGAATACATGAAACGCGCAAAAATAATTTACTATTCAATCTCAGATACACAAATATACTTAAGAAAGAGAAGTTTTATTAGGGCAATTTCACTTTATTTTTCCATACAGCAAAGTCAACTACTGCAGTAATAATAAAATAAGCATAAAACAAATTGCAGCCCAAGACAAAATACATAATTTTAAGCAACTACAAGCAGAAAGTAAGTTGTGATTACATAATAGTAAAACCAAGCACATTTGTCCTTTCAGCAGATGAAAGTCGTAGGGTTGCTGATAAGTGCAACATTATGAACCAGCTGGAGTGAAGGCTGGATACATTAATTCATTAAACAAGTGCCCATGATCACATTTTGTTTTTTTGAGTGCTTCTGAGTTGAAAATTAAAACCGTGAAATTTGAACTGTGTTTTATTTTTTCACCTGCTGAAAGAACGGGATCCTACAGCAATTAAAAAACAATCACATAACAACTATAGCTACGGTGTGCTGTTTGGTTTGCCTGTTTATGGTTTAAATTTTGTGAAAGTCAATACTTGTTTTGAAGATTTTTTTTGTGAACAATAAACCACTGAAATTGGCAGAAACTGATTTGAATAATATATGTCCTTAGTATAGTTCTTTCTCTCTTTTTGTTGTTGAAGTTTTTAACATGCAGTAGTTTTGAAAAATGTAAGGAATATTTGATCCATGATTTCACCTTAATGGTCGAAGTACCTGCTATTTTTGGTAATGATCTTCAGGCAGATTTGGCCCAATGGAGTTTTTGTCAGTCATGAGATTTTGAAAGGATGGCATATCTTTCCAGCTGAAAAAATCCTGGCAAACTACAAGCTGTCCACAAAAAAGCAAAGCAACATGTTTGAAAGGGTATGGAGTGCTAACTCTGTGCCACTTTTGCAAGCAATTTTGCTCAGTCTGTCATTTTATTAGCCTTAACAAAACTCCTTGTAATTATAGACGTTTTTATTCAAAATAAGATCTTACTATTATACAGGTTTCTCTCTTTTGACTATATACAGAAGTGCAAAAAGTCAACCTTCTCTCTAGACGTTCCAACATGCTAAATTGCAGCATAATCAACCCTCAAGAGTTTGCACACACGCTATAATTCTCATTACGTAAACTTTGAGTATTTGGATTATCAACAAAAAGTCCCTTGTTCTATTTATTGATTATGCAGCTTATTTATAACAAGGCCTGATATTCAGGGATTTCAAAAATATTAAACAATACTTTAACATTTGAAATGGATACAGTAGAAAATAAATTTTATTCTAATATCTAGGATCTAGATCTTCTTATAATAACTAATTACAAACAAAATAAATCATCAAAATATTACTCAATTGTCTGCCAGGATTGTTGCGATAGCAACAACTTAACTTCTTACTTAGCAATGATTATATATTTATAAGATATCCATATAAAAGATCTTTGTTCTTTTAATGAAAACTAGACAAGAACTAACAATGACTGACATTCTTACACTGTAATATTAAATCAGTAAAATATAAATCATTTAGTTAACAATACGAATATTCATGACACTACATGTAATTCAAAACTGATTATGTTATGAAGGAAAAACTACTTTAATTTTTTTTGTATTTTGAAAAATTCATCAGTAAAATCTAATAAAACAATAGTCTATAAACTGAAATGGTATTCAATTGTTAATAGAAAATGAAAATCTAATAAATGTAGGAAATGAAAAACTACATTTTAACAAGAAAAATAAGTAATATTCTATAATGTAACTAACTACAATAACATGTGAAGTCACCATTACTTTCTTAACACGATTGAAATTACATTGGTATGGGTTCCAACCCGTAATGTAATAATCTAAGGCTTTAATAGATGTACAGTACAATCAGTAAAATCAACACATCAGTCTTATATTAGAAAGCATCTCTCTCAAGCATAAAAACTTGCAGTAAACTTGGAAGTATGGAAAGTTCTATAACTGAACTTTCACTTCTCCCATTCCATACTATAACTACCAGTGACCTGGCCCCTACTTCAGCAATTTTTAGAACTGCTGAATAGAGCAAAAATATCCTTTACTAGCTGCAACATCCAAACCTCAAAAAAAGGAATTCCTTTGGATGAATCCATTCTTAAAAACTGAATGCACATCTATTTTTTTTTTAATTTTGTAAAAGGCTTTCTAAGGCTATAAGCAGTTAATCTGAACAAAACAAAACAAAAAAAAAATCACATATAAAAGTCACCCATGTACTTAACCCACCCAATTACTAGGTTAATTAAACATTTCCCATTTTCATATTTTGGTTTATCATGCATCTGATGACAGTGCTGCTTTCTTCTTTGTTTAGAGTCACTATTTTGAATGTGACTATGATGAAGCATTTAAGCAAACGTGAAACCATTTTTGCAAAGCATTTATAGTCTTTTGACTTTTGACAGAGGCTATAAATAGAAGCAAAATAATTTCCTCAAACATTTTGTTATCGTGTCTCAGAAATGGCATATCCCTTTTGAATAACATGTTACACAGTATAGTATGCATAAATATTACATTACAATGCATTAAAATAATTTTATATATATCTATTTTATATATCTCCAGTATGTGTGAGTTTATCTGTACTGAGAGAGTTTGTGTTGTGCTGTCTATTGTTACTGTAAAGTTAAATTGGCCATTTCTGAGACAGCTTTGGTTTCAAAACAAAAAAAAAAGAATGGTGCCCTTTGACTGATTAGTACTAGCAAAAAGCAACAAAATGTGGCTCTGAAAACAATAACACTGAAGAAATAATACTCTAATTTGATGTACAGTCTATGGCACTTCATGAGAATCCTTAGCAACATGGTACTTAAAGCCATGATGTGCTTTAAAATATACACAGTTGTGGTTTTGCTTGGCACATTCATCTCTGTCAGATCCCTCCCTCACCACATCTTACAATCTATTACATTAAAAATATTACTCTTAAACAAAAATGACTGTGCATGCACGCTCTCATCTATAATGGCAATTTTAAATACAAGGTGCACCTTTGTTATTTGTAAACCTTGAAAGAAATAAACTTATTTAAAAAAAAATTATATCTTGGTCTACAGACGTACCAATACATAATAGAATCATGGTTACACCATAGTCTGTCTTTTCAAGATGGCATGAATATATAGGAAACTAATTAGGTATGCATATTTTAATGCATAACTCTGTGCTAGAAAAGAAAGACGATGTTGTTCTTTTAGACAGGAATATCACCTCAGCACAAATATCAATTAAATGTACAAAGTGTATAGGCAACAGTGTGCAGTGGATTTCCATGTTTTCTTTTCTTCTGGTTAACATGCAATATGTGGATGTCTTGTGGCTGAGGGATTTTTGTGTGTGTTGCTTGACGGTATATACAATATGGCTAATGACCTCGTCCTTTATTCTAACCAAGCACACTGTCCTTTCCTCTTTAGTATGATCTACAAAGGAAAAAGAGATAATCTTCGTTAAAACAGATAATATCTAAAAGCAGTTTCCAATATATATTTAATACGAAATTTGTCTTTCTTGATTAAACAGTGTATTTACATGTATGTTATTATATCTTCATGTAGAAACAAAAACCACTTCACAAGTGCAAATGGATCTGAATTTGTCTATCATCTCTATGTGAATGAAAGGACATATATAGTTTCATAAAATTGTAGACTCTGTTCAAAAATTTCCTGATGCTAAGCTAAACATGTAAAACACATTTGCAGAATCAAGGGACTTAATATAGTTGAGCTCTTTTATAACACCATTGTTGTGGGGCAGAATTTAAACTTACTTTACTTCTTTTTTAAAGTTTAATAGGTTTCAAGAGTAAAGATTTGGCGTACAAATCCATGCAAACATTTTATTAAAGAAGATTCAGTCTCTTTGGGTGCTTGATTAGCATAGCATGTGTTTAAAAAAAAAAGAATGATATTTTAAGTGACTGTTTTGGATAATTCAAAATTTGTGGGGGTATTTATTCTCCTAAAGCCTAAAGAAAAATAAAAAAAAAAATCATTCTTTATAAATTAAGAAACAATTCCTCACGAACTAAATTTTAATAGATATTACAATGTACTTGTGAATAGTTCCAGGTTTTACATGAAATTGGTTCTCATCAAGCAATCTTTACATATTAAAAGTATGCTTTAGAATACAACTTTGAAAATAAATCACCATTTTGCTGATGCAAAAACTAGTTTAAATGTTGCAACTTCTAATGAAAATGAACATTCATTTGTTATGTAAAAAGAACATTAAGAGCCTGAGCTTCAAAACAGTCAAATCCACTGGTTTGCTAGTTATTAATGGACTTATGGTCATTTGGTATTATTTTTTTGAAGCTGGATTGTTGCTAAGAAATAAAAAATAGTTACATATATACATACCAACACACCCAATTCATGATAAGAGCTTGAAACAGATTTTTTTTAACATATCAAAAAGAAAACTCTTTTCCCAAACCTGCACACTACAAAGTAATGTCCTTATTCTAAAAATGTGGCTGTTGTTTAGAATCATGAATCTTTGTATCAGAACTGCTTTGAGAGAGCTTATAAAATAGACAAAAATCAATTTCAACAATTTAATTCATGATCGCAGCATGTCTTTGGCAGTACTTTTCAAATTGAGTCTATCATTTCTTTCTTACATGGCTCTCAAATTCTGCCCATCCTCCTCTCTTCCATGGGCTCTGCCGTTGTCCTGTTCTTGACATGTATTACTGTCACAAGGGTCTCTGAACTTGCTCAATGCCACCATCGTCTCCTGACTTGGCACACTGTTCCTTCTTCTGTAAGGCCCTTACTCCTCCCTTCTCTATAGAATGACACCTTCATTGTCCAAATTTACTTTTTTTCTGACTCTGTTGGGAAGAGTTGCTTCTTCATCTTTGCTCCAAGAGAAACTTCTTTGAATCTCTCTTAATATACTATGCTGAACATATTTTACACTTACAATTTCATCTTATTGTCTATTAATTTTTATCTCATTGACGTGGTAAATAACACAAAATAGCACCAAAAACTCATTTGTAAATATGTTAATAGACACATAAATTAATGAAAGAAAGCAACAGAAAAAGATCATTCACCTTATTTACCAGATTTAGTTTTAAATGTCACGGTTCTTTCTAAAAAAAAAAAAAATATATATATATATATATATATATATATAAAAGTATCCAACATGCATTTGAGCACGTTATAACTTGAATGCACGCACATTGGATAAAACATATTCCCTAAAGATGAAAAATGGGCACCTCTGCAAGTTTTTAAGACAACGTTTCTGAAGGTAAAACATAAGACTTTTAAACTATTTTTTGAGCAATGGCCAACATTTTCAGAATTATATGATCCCAAAGGTGACTATTTTGAAGTACCTAATATTCATTTGGATATGTAGATATTTGTGTGCACATATGTGTAAGTGTGTATATATATTTATGTAAAGTCAGACTCATTACATTCTAATGACCCTGTGTACGGTGATACATGGGATGATGTTGAGTACATACTCTCATTTGAGATTCAGCCAAAGAATAAAAAAATAAAATAAATGATGATCTATGTAAGGGGTCAGCCAAACTATTGCCTATGAGTCAAATCCAATCTACTACCTATTTTTGTAAATAAAATTTTATTGGAACACAGCCACACTCATTTGTTTACATATTATCTCTGTCTGCTTTCATGCTATAATGGCAGAGTTGAATAGTTGCTCAGAAACCACATGGCCCACATAGCCAAATATATTTGACCTTATAAGAAAAAGTTTACCAATCTCTGATCTACACCTTCTAGTGACTCTTAAGGCACATTTTTTCTTAATGTTTGTGTTTATTTCTAACACGAAATAAAATAACATTTATTTTTCCCTTAGTATTTTGTATATTCAAGTGATGTTAACATATTTATTACAAATTTGCCTGACTTTCCTCATAACCATTTAAGATAAAAATGCGAGCTGTATATAAATATTTTCTCAAAGATTTTGTAAAATTTTAAGTATACTACATAATTGTTATCTTAAAAAATAACACCATGAATATACAACTATATATTACATAATGAACTTACTGTTTAGTGATGAAAATTCTACATCTGGGTAACATACTTGTGGCTAGTCAGATGTTCGGCAGATATTATGGGTATCTAGCAAATAAAAAATTATTTAATGAATGATCCATGCGAGCAAGCCAACAATCAAGAGATGAAAACATCTTAATATTAAAATTTTAAAGAAAAGTGAAATTCCGCTGTGAGGTGACAGTCCTTATCTGGTCAACATAACAGTAAGTTAATATAAACTGAAATGCCAAATTAGCAACTAATTTTTAAAAAATCTTCATGTTAAATACTATTCTATAAATGTTACCAGTTTTTAGGAAGTAAGAGAAGTAAAACTACCAAAAATTCATGCAGAGCAGTAATTGAAAGAAGCCCTTTTTGTTGGCCTACACACACACACACACACACACCCCTGTGGTTTCAGTTACTTAGTAATAATCCAGAAATCAGAGTAGGAAATGTCTTGCCTATTTTTGTACAACCATATTTCTAACATTTACATTCAAATTAGGGTGTCTAACATTTTTTTCCACATGAAAAATACCAGGTAAGAATTATAAAGCAGTAATTCAAAGGAACTATTAAGAGTGTAAGTTTACATCAGAACATATTTCTGAATCCTGATGGTACCTTTTATTGTATTTCAATGGGCAAGAAAGTCAGAGAACTTGAGAAAAATACAATAACAAACCAATAGAAGTGAATTATTTCAATAGTCCCCAAAGTCAAGAACTTCAAATTTATAGTTTAATTCTTCTCCAACCCCAAATTAATGGCTGCTAACCTGAGAGGGGTAGCACCAAACATTGAGACCATCAGAGGACTGAGAGCACAGGTTCTACAACTAGTGATCCATTTCCTGGTTGTGTGACCCTTGAGTAAAGCAACTTATTACTCCATGCTTAAGTTTCTTCTACAAAATGACACTAATCCCATTTCAGTAAGGTTTATGGGAGAATAATGAAATCACATACAGGAAGGCATTTTTTTGTTGTTTCGATTTAGACATCCTGGACTAATTCAACATATTACAATCCACAGTCTGACGTGTATATTAATATGTCCCTATTTTATTTTCAGTTCTCAGCTGACATTTTTATACAATTTTACAGCATTGGCAAATGGCACGAAAATGTGCTCCAAGCATAATGAAGCTTCTCATACCATTTTTCCTGCTGCTGCAGGACAGGATGTTGCACCCAACAGTGTAGAAGCATCAAGGATGGGGCTGTCGAAACATACCAAGGACCTTCAACACCAATCGATGCAGATGAAGGGCCAGCTATAAACTTCTGCATGCATGCAGGCTGCATTTTGTGGCATCAGCTATTTCCAGCATTGCTAATGTACTGTAGGCATATACATATGTATGTATATGTAGATATAATATATGTGTGTATATATATATCCATTCCCTTTTCTTTCTTTTGGTTGTAAAATAGTATGAAGACCCAAGATTATGCATGAAATGGTCACAGCACAATGCAAAAGGTAAAGTGTCCCCTACAACCCAGGTGGCCAAGGACATGTTGAAATTTGCTTTGCTATAGTTCTGCTTACACCAGCAATTCTACAGTCATACATGGTACACACTGGAAAGTTCAGCACCATTGATGTGCACATAAATGGACTGCATTGAATCCATTATGGTATTTCTACCAAAGATCACTTACTAACATGCCACATATGCACAATCTAGCATTCTTGTAAATGAGTCTGATGTGTTAGCATAAATCGAGGGCTATTTTGCCAAGCTTCTTAAAAACTAATGACTCTTTGCCAAGAAATGTTTAATGCTTGACTGAAACTTTAAAATAAATCCATTTTGGCATTCTGATTTTGAAAGTTTTTAATGGCTATACTAATAGATGAGTTCTTCATCAATAGTACATGATGTATTATAGAAACAAGGGTGGGTATTCTTCACAGTAATAACTACAAATTCAGATGTCTCCTAATTGGTCTTCTCTTCCCAAGGGGCGACATTTTGATTTCCATCTGATACTGGTTCTTTTGAGATTCATTTGGCTACATTTAACCTTAGTCTGTGGGTTATCTGAAATGTGGTTGGCTCTAATTTTTTTTGTACACTATCAACTCTATTGAACTTTGTTTTCATAACAAATATATCTATATATTCAAGCCCAATCAATATTTTCTGAAAAATAATTTTAAAGGTGATCAGAAAATTCTGGTTGAATCAATGTCAATTTTTAAATTTTAAATAGTTTAAATAATCATTTAATTTTAAATAGTTACTCTTGTATATCATGAAATTTAAGTCTTTGAAAGAGATCCCTTTTACTTAAGAGTATCCTGCACAATTGTTACCCTATAAACTTGTATGGAACACAGAATAACTGTCAATAACCATACCTGATTTCTTTTTTTTCCCCTTCATAAACCTCCAACATTTATGCAGAGTATTTATAAAATAAAAGCACTTGCTTATTTTTTACTTAAAGCACTGAGAATAAAACAAAAATAATTTATTTTGAATATGCAATTTGCTTTTCAAATGAATCAAATTATAATGAATTTATAACAAACTATTTACAAGAGTGGTCATTTGTGGCATGTGTAATACATTTAAATATTTTTGTTTTATTAAGAATTTAGGGAAGAAATGAGATATTGTATATATCAAATGTTTTTAATAAAAACATTAAAATTGATTCCATTTTTGATTGGTCAAAATACTTACATGATTGGTTGAGACTAAATGAGAATTGCTTGTGTAAATATCAGTTTAGTAGCTTCAGAAATGGAGCTGCGACAACTTTGGAGCACTTATAAATGGCATAAAAGCATTCTGCTGCTCATCATAGAGAGAATGTGTAGGCCAACAAGAGGTATCTTTGAAACCCCATGCTTATTAAAGCACCCTCGACAGTCCTCACGTACACACAATTCCCACTGACCTCAATGGGAAATCCACGTGCGTAAGGGCTGTTGGATTGAGCCCTATTAGAGTTGGTTTTTAAGAAACAAAGCTGTAAATTAGCAAACCTGGTTGGCTGTGGCTGTTGCAGCGAAGGGAACACTTGTGGCAGATGTTGTTGCTGCGGACACAGTGGCTGGCGTAGCACCGTGCACCATGGGAACTTTCGGAGGGAAAATCATATAAGCAAACATACAGAAGAGTGTAGCAATATGGAAACCATGGCAACATGGAGGAGATAATTGGGCATGGTATTTATCACAGCAATAAGCCATGTGACAGGACATCATCACCAGCGAGTGACATGCAATCACAGCGCAAAGCAGGACAACATTCCAAGAAGAGAGGGGAGGGAGGGGGGATGAAAGAGAAAAAAAAGGGGAAAAAAAGCTTGTTACCATCAAATCAAGAAAATTGACACAAACAGGCTTAATTTGCTAAGTCAAAAACAAGAATTTTATATAGTGTTCATAGACATTCAAAATCTAAGTTAAAATACAAGTATTTATTTAATATATACAGCTGTTTGAATGAAATATTTTTTATTTACTATTATAAAAACATACAGTATATTACTTTTATGAGATAGATTCTTTTTTTTACACACCAGAACTCATAGTCCAATCAAAATCCACCAAAGGTGACTAAAGGAAACTGTTGTGTGTAAAGAAAACATTTATGTGAGTCCGTGTCAATTAAATAGAAAATGGCATTTAATTGACAGGTGTTAGTAAAAGGGAAATGGACTTGCCCAATAGATACAAGTTAAACTTAGCAGTGGATTTTGAGGGGCTGTGAGGTGCACCATAGGTTTAAGATAATCAAGAAACAAAGCTGGCACCTACCAACACTTGTAGCGGGTGTCATGCACAATATTGAGCCTGCCCATCATGCATTGCAACAGGAAGGTGGATTTGAAAAGGGAAAAGAATTAAAACATCCCATCACACGTGTAATTAGGAAATTCATTTGAACAAAGAAGAAAAATTGTTATTATGGGAACAGTGGCATGTAACTGTCAGCACAATCAAATCATACAATAGCACAGTGATCAATTAGAACTAGTCTCAAGTGAAGAATAAAAGCCAGTTTAACTGTGTGCTGGTACACTTTGTTTCTCCTAATTGCTATCTATAAATAAAAGTATTTTGGAAATAATTTAAACCCACTTAATTCTTTTTAAAATAATATTGTAATTTGCTTTGTTTTAATCTGGTTACTAACCATCTGGCTGCTTCGCTATTTCTGACTTTAACTTACGGATGTATTAACGTTATCTTTAGATTAGCACATGTTAAATAATTAGAGATATTATTTATTATTAAAGTGCTAACTAATTCAATGCACGCAACTGACTTAACAATATAATCAAACCCAAACATTAATTTTCATTCCTTTGGTTTTATTTCCCTGTTCATTGTAGCAGCATCCATACAGACATGGAAGGGGTTGTGATCATCCATACAGGAACTTTATTGGAGAGATACCAAGCAATAAATTATACATAAAATGAAAGGAAAATTTCTACATTCCCTTAGTTTCAAATGAAAGCTTAGGAAAAGTATTAAGAGGGAAAATAATTTCTTATAACTCTCAAATTGGTTTATTTGGTGAGTATCTGGGAAAACAGACTGGTTTTCATTACTAGTTTAGACCCTCAAGACTACCTGGAGTAGCAAATGTTCTACAAAATTTCACATACAAGAAATTGCTAATTAGACTTCAATAAAAACCGTGAATGGGAGATAATGAAGATACATACACTACCTATGGGGTGTTAGCACTGATGTTCACAATTGTCCAACCATGATAAGTAAAAATAAACGTTATATATATAGTCCTTGTTCTCTTCAACGTGTAAATATTGAAAATTTAATTTATTTTATCAAGTACAGGGCACTTTCCCATATGCAGAACTACTGTTCTTCCCATGGGATTATTTTAGAATTCTAGGTTTTAAAATATCAAATGATTTTATATTTCTATCTAAATCTTGGCATATCCTGTTTAAATACTAGTAGCATCTGGGATGAACATTTGTTAGAAAAGTATCTGCCAAATGAGTCTTGTCAGAGATGGCCCTACAAAACAAAGCTGCCATTGAGAAACCTGACTGAAACACAGATTACTTAACTGGCATCCCTGTAATAGCTGCAATTAGTTCGTTATCACAATTAGACTATGGACACAATGATCAGTGATTAAATTCGTAATAGATGTAAGGAAGCATCCTCTCAGGTGGAGTAATATTACATTGACAGGCATTATTTAAGGCATTTAAAGATCTCTGTCTTTGCTACTACTACTGAGTCAAAGACTTGTGAAAGACAACAACAGAAACAAACCAGTAATAACAAATAAGTTAATTTGAGACATTAGAACAAGCAAAATTTAATATTGGGAGCTAGATCTTCTGAAATCATTACGCTCTTAATGGTAAGGGTGAGAGGATTGGAAAAGAAAAGATGAATGAAAAAGAAAATGTGATATTTAAAAAATATTAAAGCCAGTTTAAATATTATACAGGTTATATATTTTAAATTTATTATTTATTATTATGCTGCAATTTGCCTATTGTATTTCATCCCATGCATAATTAAGCCTGCACATGCTGAAAATGAGTTAACCTTATACTACCTCTCTAAAACCCTAAAGTTTTTAATGATATGAATTTTAGTTTGAGTTATATTCCTCATTACCATTATAACCAACGCACACAGTTTTCAGAGGGATTTGCAGCAAATAAATATAAGGCAGCAATGAAAATACTAGCCAGGGTGCAATAACTCACAAATATGAAGACATAATGCTGTAGGACCCACTTACCAAAAACAAAAATCACTTTTGAAATGACCATAATATTCATCTTTTACTTCAAATGGGTTGATTTACTAATAATGACACACAAATAGCCAATTTAATTTTTTTCTCAATTTTCAGCACAAAGCAAAATTTAAGAGAATATATTTGTCAATTTCCAATTTCCCATACAAAGATATTTGCAGAGCAGAATGTTGTGTTTCTGAGAAATGTGTCATTTTAATTATATGACTTTTTAAATTAAAAATTTCAGTTGATATGTATGAAAATGCAGGAAAAACAACTAGGATGGTAATTCACAAATGACATTGTATGCATAGCTAAAATTACTTCAAGGAGAAGGGGAAAGAAGTAGAAGGGAGAAGAAGAATTATAATGGAGATTTGGTTGGAAGTCGGAATTTTAATGTGTTAATTCAGGCCTGTTTAGATTTATTATGATAAGTATAAAGCTGATTTAAGGTCTTCTAAAAACAATGTATAACACTTTAGGACTGAAAGTTCACAATCAACTGAATTATTCTCAAAATTGATATCCAAACAAGCAGCACCTTTTTTATTAATTATAAATAATTTATTAACGTATAATTATAAATAATATTTATTAATTATAATTAAAGTGACAAGCCAGAAATATTTGCTTTCTCTTCCTTCTATAAAAACAACCCCATTACCCTGCCCCACCCTCACACCCCCACCCCCACCTAAGAAAGTTTCCTGGACTTTTGTTTCCTTATCCCTGATAGAGTTGTAATGCAAGCCAAAGTAGAAGTTGTTTAAAGCAAATTTATTTTTAGATCTTTTGATGGCAGGTAGGCAAAAATCCTAATGGAGGACACAGAGAAAAATTCCTTAAGACTGAAGTGGTGGGCAGTCTGCCAAGTGCATGAGTAGTTGAGCATGTAGTCTGTTCTTTCACAACAGCCCTGTAGACAGCAAGCCCTCAGGGCATGGGCTGCATGGGAGCCTGGAGATCTTAGGCAAGGATGCTTGTACCCAAGGCAGGCACAGAATCCCTGGAGTACCTGTCTTCAAGAGCTCTTGCAAGCATGGACAGTGATGATATCAGCAGTGCGCAGTGGTGACTGAAGAATGAAGAATTGGTAGCCTACTTGAGAATACCAGGCTGCACAGGACCTCACTTTGAGAGTAGGGTGGGGAGAAAGAGGAGATGGGAAGATGGGGTTTTGGATTCCAATAATGCCTGTATTTCTGTCCAACCCAGTGAGATTAGAGTTTACAGCTGGACTTAATTTAAATTCAAGAAAAAAAGATGTAAATAAAAGTGACATAAATTCATACCTACAACATAAGTAGACCCTAGATTATGCATAGTCTGTATAAATAATCAATTAAGTCCTTATGGAGGAAGGTTAAAACAATTATATATCTAAAATTTTTTAAAAAACTTCAATGTAGGCCGGGCGTGGTGGCTCACGCCTGTAATCCTAGCTCTCTGGGAGGCCAAGACGGGCGGATTGTTTGAGCTCAGGAGTTCAAAACCAGCCTGAGCAAGAGCGAGACCCCGTCTCTACTAAAATTAGAAAGAAATTAATTGGACAACTAAAAATACATAGAAAAAATTAGCCGGGCATGGTGGCGCATGCCTGTAGTCCCAGCTACTCGGGAGGCTGAGGCAGGAGGATCACTTGAGCTCAGGAGTTTGAGGTTGCTGTGAGCTAGGCTGATGCCACCTCACTCTAGCCCGGGCAAAAGAGTGAGACTCTGTCTCAAAAAAAAAAAAAAAAAAAAATTCAATGTAAGGTTAATCTAGTCCTTATATTTAACATCTTTAAATGAGATGGAGAGTATAAAACATCAGGCAGGGCGTTAGGTGAGCAATAATGGCTAGTTCCACTCTCCCAAATAGTTTTTTTAAGTCTTCCTGTACTAAGCTCATAGATATTGAGAGACTAATCCAAGTCCACCTGACCCAAGTTCAAGTTCTATCTAACCCTCACGAGCCACTTAACTTGGGACAAATCACTGGACCTCACTAGGCCCCAAATTACTCTTTGGTAAAATGGTAATATTAATGCCAACTTTTGGGGGTTATTGTGAGAAAAAAATGAGATACTGTATGTAAAGCACCCAGCGCAGCATGACACAGAGTAAACACTCAATAAAAGGTAGTTCTTTTGGACAAAATGTGTGAAACAACATGGCCTAAGGCAATAGGAGTTGTAAGGCTTAGAACTGGAGTGTACAGTATGTGCCCTGTCTAAAGGATTTACATTTAGTTTTATTTAAACACTCCTAGAGAGACAAAATATTTCCAGATACTAGATATCGCCCTTGGGCTATAAGATTTCAATCCCTAGTGTAAAAACTGGTGTACCATGTG